AAATAATAGTATAAGATTTTGAGTATAACTATCATGATATCACAAGTTCATAATAAAATTTAAAATATGTAATGAAAAATATATGTATTTTTTAGTTTTTTACGAGTTTCGTATCGTGTTCTGGTTAGGCGGGTCCAACCAGAAATTAACCCATATTTTTCATGTCAATTTCAGATCGACTTAATTCTAATATGAACATATTTTTTCTCAATCCTAACCCATAAAATTCATATTATTTTTGAGTCGTGTCGTGATTCATATTACCGCCCTCCGTATACGTAAGATCTCTCACCCGTAAATTGATTTTCTTTTGATTCTACGTGCAGTTCTAATAAATTACGAAATAAAATAAAAAAATAAAAGCAAGAGAAGATTTTTTTACTAAAGTACAATGAATTTACATTCAAAAAAGGATCAAAATAGTACTATTCATCTTATTACAATGTGACCCCGCTATAAAAAAGTGAAAGCACGTGATCGATCAATAAGACTAGCTAGTACTATTGAGCTCATGTCAAGTCTCTCTAATTAGTATCTGCTCCCGTCCACATTCATTTGAGATTTTTATCCCTTTATATATATATATATATATGTTTCAATAATTTTAGGGGACTTTCTCGGCTAAGGCAGTTTCTGGACACTAGATTTGATTATCATCATATGAAATTAAAAAATGATAACTATTTTGATAGCCATTACTCACAAAATATATTGAGTCTTACCTACTCACTTAACAAGACTCATTTTACGTGAATAGCGGGATTTTTAATCATGGGCGATAAATAAATGTGCTCTATTAGATTAAAAAAATATAAAAAAAACATTTTTTTTATACAAATATGATAGTTAGAAATCGACACTTCTCGGTATGCAACTTGTCCACGGGGGGTGAAATAAAAATATTTGTACTGAACCAATACAACAATACAACTCATACACGTCTACGATTACGACCGGTAATTGCATGAAGTAGCATCCAGTGTATTTTAAGTGAATTATGTCATTCATACTTTCTGCTTCCAGCTTGACAATTAACACACAATAGAAACGATTGTCCTGTCTGTCTTAAGGCTTGATCAATAGTGACAAGACTACTGCCTCCAGCCTTTGGGGCCACATCTTTATAGGGACAGAAAAGCGTTTGCCGTGTAGATAGATATTATACAAGTACCGTGTGGTAGTTCTACATTTATATATGTACATTAAGGGTAGTTGACTTCACATATTTGAGTTTTTAATTTGAGTTGAGATATAATATTTTTAAAAAATTTTTTATTGTAGTAAAAAAAAATTAAATATGATATTTTTTGAGAATTTTTTACTGTAAAAACTTAAAACTGAAAACTCGAATCAGTGAAATGAACGAGATATTTATGATCCATTTATTTTACCGATTTGAGTTTAGAATTTAAATTTTGTTACAGTAAAAAACTCTCAAAAATAGTCACATTTAACTTTTTATTACAGTAAAAAACTCTCACACAAAATCACATCTCAACTCGAATTAAAAACTCAAATCAGTAAACTAAACGGGCCTTTAATAACTATATATATTATAGTCTATAGAGAGAATTTCTTGTGGTTTAAATCATTACCGAGATATTTAGTTGGAGGATTTAAACCATGATTTGAATTATAGTTCATGGTTCGTTACAATATTTTCTCTCACAAAAAAATACACGTAAATTAAAAATGGTTCTAATCATATGATTCTAATTCATGAACCAAATGGCTCCTACATTTTAAAACTAAAAGAAAAGAAAAAAAAATGAATTTTTTTTTTTTAAAAAATATCTCGTTTTGGCCATTTCTAACAACATGTTTGGCCAACAAACTATTGGACATTCAATGCATGCTTACCATATCCAAATTATGTAGTATGTTTTGGATCTCAATCTTAACAAAAAATCTAAGAAGAAGATTTTTTTTAATTCGAGTTAAGATATAATATTTTTAAAGAGTTTTTTATTGTAGTAAAAAAAAAATTAAATGTGATATTTTTTGAGAATTTTTTACTGTAAAAACTTAAAACTGAAAACTCGAATCAGTGAAATGAACGAGATATTTATGATCCATTTATTTTACCGATTTGAGTTTAGAATTTAAATTTTGTTACAGTAAAAAACTCTCAGAAATAGTCACATTTAACTTTTTACTACAGTAAAAAACTCACACAAAATCACATCTCAACTCGAATTAAAAACTCAAATCAGTAAACTAAACGGGCATTTAATAACTATATATATTATAGTCTATAGAGAGAATTTCTTGTGGTTTAAATCATTACCGGGATATTTGGTTGGAGGATTTAAACCATGATTTGAATCATGGTTCATGGTTCGTTACAGTATTTTCTCTCACAAAAAAATACACATAAATTAAAAATGGTTCTAATCATATGATTATAATTCATGAACCAAATGGCTCCTACATTTTAAAACTAAAAGAAAAGAAAAAAAAATGAAATTTTTTTTTTAAAAAAAATCTCTCGTTTTGGCCATTTCTAACAACATGTTTGGCCAACAAACTATTGGACATTCAATGCATGCTTACCATATCCAAATTATGTAGTATGTTTTGGATCTCAATCTTAACAAAAAATCTAAGAAGAAGATTTCTTACAATTCCACCAAAAAAAAAAAAAAAAAAAAAAAGAAGCTCCTATGATAAGAGCTGTTTGTTTTATGTGTATTGTTTGTTTTATATGATTTTCATTTTGAAGACATATTAGCGTTCATTTCAGCTGATTAATGCACTAATTGAATAGTATTCTTTAAGACCAGGAACTGACTCTGTCAAAAGTCAAAAGAGGCAGACCTAATTGACCAGTTCATATAGCTTCCAGCGCCTTTTCATTTCGCTTTCTGTATAGAAAATATTGTTATCTTGTGAAGTCTAATTACACCTTAATAATTTTTACTTTATGTGAAGCGACTAAAAGAGAAGATATAATTTTATATTTAGATGAATCTTTATAAATTTTGCGCGTCTATTTTTTTGTTTGATTTTATTACTCTAAAAAAATATAGAAATAGTGCGTCTAACTCTTAATCAATATCGCTTTCCTTTTCATAAAGAATACACGAAAAAATGATTTTCAAAAGTAAGCGTGATTTGAGGCCCCAACAGCTGTCTAAACACATGACACCGCGTCTAAACTTCGAAGAAAAGAATTAATTAATTAACTATACTTAGTACTCAAAAAGAAAAGAGAAGAGAAGATAAGAAGATAAGAAGATCTCATCCTCATGATTGATACTGTCTGTGTTCACATCAGAGAATTTTTGACCTTTTTCTGTCCATTTCAACTGCATATCTTATTGTTTATTATCAGATCTTCAGGAAATTTCTTACGTTCATCTGTTTCTCATCTTTTATTTTTGGGGACGTGAAACATGAGCATAATCATCAGGAAGAGCTTCTAAACTACTCTCTCTCTCTTATACATATATATACATATTCTCCTGATATATATACCTTTTCAAACTTCTTATGTTTCTGCAAAATCGTCACTTGACAAGTGACAAAGAAGATGAAGTTTGGAAAGGAATTTACTTCTCAGATGGTTCAGGAATGGCAAGAGGCATACATGGACTACAACTTTCTCAAGACAGTCTTGAAAGACATCTGGAGGTTCAAACAGAAGAAGAAGAACAACAACAATTTTGCTTCTTCAACTCCTAGAGGAGGAGTTGGAGGGGCTTTGAGAAGGAAGGTTTCTTTGCACAGAGGCTTCAGTGGCCTAACAACGTCCCGGTACAGAAACTCTCCGGCGTCGGGGAGGAGAGACATCGAGGAGCCGATCCTCGTCGGCGCGGTGCAGCGAGAAGGGTCGGAAGAGCATTACCAGACCATGTTCTTTATGTCAGGTGATGAAGGAGGAGAGCATGAGCTTGTGTTCTTCAGGAAGCTTGATGATGAGTTCAACAAGGTTGTCAAGTTCTACAGGAAGAAGGTTGAGGAAGTTGTGGAGGAGGCTTATGAGATGACAAGGCAGATGGATGTTCTGATTGCTCTTCGGATTAAGGTTAAGAATCCCGCCCTGAAACCGGAGGAAACTGAGGTGGTTAAACCGAGTAAAACACCAGGTGACTAATGAAGAGCAAGAAATGCAAATTTGAATATCTTTTATGTCTTGCTTTCTTTTCTTGGTCATGTGATGAAATTTTATGAGTTAAAAGTTAGTCCTTGTGTGTTTAGCGCGGCCGAGTATGGATACGATTCGAGAAGTTGAGATGAGCAGGGAAGGACAATCTGAAGAAGGAGAAGAAGAAGAAGGAAAAGGAGAAGAGAGAAGAGGCAATGAGACAAGAGAAATTAGTAGTAGCCAGAGAAACGACAATGAAAGAAGAATGGAGAAATGTAGACCAGATCCACTTGAAATACCGGATCATGTAAAGATAAATATAACGCCTGAAACTTTAATGTCAACTCTGAGAGGCATTCTAATGAGTTCAACTGCTAACTTGTCGTTCAGCAAGGAAGAGCTGAGGAAATCAGAAGAGTTAATGAAAAAGGCTTTTGTTGAGTTCTATCAGAAGCTCAGACTGTTGAAAAGCTACTGGTATATATGATCCTTATGGCTTAATCATATCGTAATAAAGTTGTGTTCTCTGTTGAGAATTATGGTAAGTAACTTGTTTGTGTTTTTGATGGATTGCGACAGTTTCATGAACCAGCTGGCTTTCTCAAAGATCATGAAGAAGTACGACAAGGTCGGAACAAAATTCGTCGATCTGAATTCTGAACTGTGATTAATGTTGGTGCTTCAGTTTTGTACTAAAAACTGTGTTTATGAGTGCAGATTGCTTCAAGAAATGCATCAAAGGCTTATTTGGAGATGGTGGATAAGTCCTATCTTGGAAGCTCTGATGAAGTTAGTTATAGAACATTGTTGATAATGTTATTATGTAAAAAATAAAAAAAAAATAAAAAAATTCCACTTTGAAATTTAGCTTTATTGCTTTTTATCTTTTGCTTCCTCCACAGGTTACTAGGCTGATGGAGAGGGTGGAGGCTGTCTTCACAAAGCACTTTGCACAGGGAAACCGCGGAAAAGGAATGAACATCTTAAGGCCAAAAACCAAAAGAGAGAGGCATAGGGTCACATTCTTTTTGGGTAGATTGATGAAAAGAGTAGAAACCAACTTCTTTTAAATATGATTGAAAATTAACCATTCCACTCTGTGAGATGGGGTTTTGCATCAGTTATTCAATGTGTGATCAAAATGTCAATAAACTGTCTTGTGATAAATTGCAGGCTTTTTGTCCGGGTGCTCACTTGCTCTTATAGTGACCATTTATGTGCTTATACAAACAAGAAACATCATTAAGAGCGAAGGCCGCGGTCGGTATATGGATAACATATTTCCTCTCTACAGGTGAGCTCAGTTTGAGATGGTTATTCTTTTGTATTCATGTGATTGTGGAAGCATTTTATCAATTTGGCAATGAAATTAGCATAATATTATTGAATCTTTTTTCATTATTTTTGCAGCTTGTTCGGATTCATTGTCCTACATATGCTCGTGTTCTCCGGAAATATATACTTTTGGAGGCGGTACCGAGTCAATTATCCATTCATATTTGGTCTCAAGGAAGGAACAGAACTGGGATACAGACAAGTGCTTCTTCTCAGTGCAGCTCTTTCTGTAGTCTCTTTGGCTGCTGTCATCTCGAATTTGGACATGGATATGGACCGAAAGACAAACCACTTCGAGACTTTACCAGAATTATTCCCTCTTGGCCTAGTCATTGTGAGTTCTAGAAATTCAATTCAACGACAAATCTTTGTTATGTTCCTTGATGTAATAAGCTTTGTTTTGCAGGTTCTCCTTCTCATACTCTTCTGTCCTCTCAACATAATATACCGTTCTAGTCGCTTTTTTCTCATTAGATGTACATTTCGTTGTTTTTTCGCTCCACTCTACAAGGTAATGGGACTAAAATTTTCCCATATTCTGATCATTTAGTTACTCAGACATCATTAAAAATTTTCCAATGTTTCATCTGTAGGTTACCCTCCCAGATTTTTTCTTCGCAGATCAACTTACAAGCCAGGTTTGAATTTGTGCTTATTTTACCACTTGTCATATGCATCATGTTTTCCAATCCAATTAATTTAGTTTGAGAAAAAGAAAAAAAAAGGTCAAACTCTATGCCTTTTTTTTTTTGCTTGAAAGGGTCAAACTCTGTTATATATAATATCTTACCCTTGATTAACTTAAAAAACCAGGTTCAAGCCTTGAGAAGTTTGGAATTCTATGTCTGTTATTACGTTTGGGGAGACTTCAGAAAAAGGGAAAACAAGTGCCTAGATAGCCCTGTGTACCAAGCTTTCTATATAGTTGTCGCCATTATTCCATACTGGCTACGTCTCCTTCAGGTACTTCTTTATGGCATGCCAAGTTTTTAACTTCTTATCCTGAAAAGAGGAGCATTTCTGGTAACACATTTTCCAACCGTGTCATAGTGTCTGCGGCGATTGCTTGATGACAGAGATTCGATACATTCGATAAATGGCCTAAAGTACTTCTCGATCATAATAGCAGTGGCAATGAGAACACTCTACGAACAGAAGAAGGGGACGATCTTTCTGATACTGGCTGCGGCTACCTCCGGAATTGCCACAATTGGTGCTACTTATTGGGATCTCGTCATCGACTGGGGCCTTCTACAACGGAATTCGAAGAACCCCTGGTTGAGAGACAAACTTATTATACCAAATAAGAGTGTCTACTTTGTAGCCATGGCAAGAGAATGCAACAAAAATGAATTTCTTGATTCTGTAATTTTTTCGCTTACTTGGTGGTTCTGAAGTAATGAAAAACTTGCAGGTGTTGAATGTGTTACTGAGACTGGCTTGGATGCAGACAGTTTTGGGATTCCGAGAAGTTCCTTTCCTGCATAGAAAGGCCTTGATTGCCATTGTTGCTTGCTTAGAGATCATTCGTCGTGGCATTTGGAATTTCTTCAGGTACTTATGCTATAATTCTTGTTGAATATTTCAATATTTGTTAGCAACTTATTTTTAACTAACAAGAATGTGAATCGGTGATGTTTAATTGATCAGGTTGGAGAATGAGCACTTGAACAATGTTGGAAAGTATAGAGCATTCAAATCAGTACCTCTTCCTTTCAACTACGAGGAGAAAGATACATGAAACATGTGACATAGCAGAATATGACAAGCTTCAACCACTTAAGCATGTGTGATTTTATTTTCCTTCTTTTCCTTCTATTTTGTTTATGGGAGTGAATCCCAAGACAAATAGAGAAAAACCCACGAACCAATAGGGAGTGTCCAAAGAAAGAGAAGTTATTATTCTACATGTTACAGGAAATGGATAGGGACAAGTGGCATTAATCACATATTATGAGTTTTAAAGATGGTTAATGCCGTGGGGACCATAAGATGGAATTGCAGAAAGCTGATTTGCAAGTGGGCATTATTGGTCCCTTCTACTTTGTTGAGGTGCCCCACCCCCACCAGGTGGTGACTAGTACCAATTTTACAACCCGAATTTTATCCCCATTTGTGCTTGCATCCCTAACTTTATAGAAATACCCATTTTACTACTCCAAACTTTGAATAAGTCCACTTATGTCCATCTATTAATGTTAAAAATATACGGCAAAGATATACACGAAAAACATTATTTATACGGCTTTCTTCTAGGGCGGTAAGAAATCACCCCGAACCCGACGAACCCGGCCGAGCCGAGCCGACCCTACTCGAAAATCACGGGTTTCCAATTTTTTATTTAATTTTCAGTTTTAATTATGCCTAACCCGCACTGGGCGGGTAGGGGCGCGGGGTGGGGTTACATGAACCCGGGGGAACCCTACCCGGCCGAACATGTTCAAAGTAGGTAAAATAATGTCCAACACTTCAAATTCTTACTTTCATAAGTTTATGGACTTTATGCTTTTAAACTGTTAACTTATTTATGTTTTGGATTCACGGTTTGTGTAAAAAATGCTTGTATGTCATAGTTGTTGAATTAGGACATTCTTTATTTATATTGGAAGTGTTTGATTTCAAAGTGAGTGTTTTAATTGTTCACATTGCATTTAGACCCCCTCTTGAAGGAAATACATGTTCTGTTTGATAATGATTTCTTCTGTAACAAGCACAGATTAATTGACTAAAAATTAATTAAAATTGATGAAGTCATAGATTAAAATTGGTTTTCACCAACCCGAGTAACCCGACTCTACCCAAGGTCACCCGAAAATTGCGGGTTTGTAGACTTAAGAGAATGTCACGGCCTAAAATTTTCTCAACCCGCACAGGTCGGGTAGGCTCAATTTTTCGGCTCAACCCTACCCTACCCGGCCGATTTACACCCCTACTTTCTTCCGTCAAATTTTAACGAAAATTTTAACAAATTGTCTAAAAATCAAGATCTGAAGTCGTAAGAATTTTTAAAGACGGCAGGTAAAAATGGGTGTAAACTTTGGGGGATGCACAAATGAGAACAATCCAAACAAGAAGAAAGACCTAACCCATGTGATGAAGCTCAACACATGTTGAGAAAATTTGCATTTTCCAATTTACTTTGAATACAAAGATCACGGCTGCGTTTGGTTAGTAGATTCGTGTCATGGTTCGTGACTTACTACAGTATTTTTTCTCACAAAAAAACATACGTAAATCGAAAATAATTCTGAATCTATGAACCAAACGTCCACTAAATCATCCAACTGATTATACAGGGCTGTACATAGCCTGTTATTCAATCCAACCCAGTAGAAGAAACTAGAAAATACATGCATAAACATCAACCAACGAGATGAACAATTAAACAGAACGTGCACTTTCTTGCTCAGGCTCTTCTTCATTATGTAAGGTTGCAGGCGAATTTGAAGCGGAGTTTTCAGCTGTTATAGCTCCGGTTTCGTCGTCCTCGCGGCTCCTGCCGAGGGATGAAAATGACAACGGATTGTAAGTAGAGCTTGCTTTTTGAAGACCTCTTATGGCTCTCATAGCAGCAAGCGTGCTGCGATATATGTACATTGTTTCATCACCAAGATTTGATGGCGTCTCAGACATATTTACCGAGTTATTCTGTGGTTGCTCTGTCTTGTCTTGTGAGGTTGGAGTAGACTCGATGATTTCTGCTTCAAGTGGGAAGAGAAGCTCAAGATTCGCCTCGCATTCACGGACTAGCCTTGTGAGAGGTTCAGTTGAAAAGGAAGGCTGGCGAAGGGCAAGTTGCGTGAAGGGTAGACGCAATAATCCCCCGGTTCGCTTATCATACTTCTTCAGAATTTTAACTAGTCCTGTTGAAGCCATAAATGGATATGAATTTGGAAATAGATGAGAACTTGCATTTTCAGCAACAATATGGATGTAAAACAAATGACTTAATGATATAGCAGCTGTACCTGTATAATACAGGAAGCTACAATTTTAGACGCACCATCTCCCTATCTTAAGAGACGAAGCTCTTACCAAAACAAGTTAGACGTAGAAGAAAGAAACACAGAAATCGCCAATGTACCTGCAAAGTTTAAGGAGCTATAGTTTTTGAGAAGCACCATCTCTCCATGAATGGTGACAAAGTCTTTACGAATGTCCATCATTTCTTCACTGAACTCACTTTCTGATGTATAGGCTCTTCCATTGTTGCTCTTCTCCTTGACTCGCTCAATCCTTTCTTTCAACTCCTGTAACAGTAGCAGATAATTACAAGTACTGCAAGTAATGCAACACCACAAATAAGAATCTACTAGAATTTAATCCATCAAATCCCACGATTTTATTCGACCTAAATCGGTTGCAGACTCGAGATTACCATTTGAAACCAGCCATGACAACATGAGAGAGAATCAATTAGTGGAAGATTTTTTAAATAAATAAATAAATACTTCTTGCTTATCTGTGGAAGCTTAATTATCATGCCTCGGTGGAATCACCGGAAGCTACTCCCAACCATGACTAAAACTTGCAACAAGAGACTATTAATAAACAGGTCATGGACATTCTGGGCAATAATAAAAAAAACAAATATTCGAAAGCAACCTACATATCTGTTAAAGATAACTTATGCGGGCCACAAACTTGAAAAGGTCAAGCATTAATGAACAAAAAGGGGGTTCCACATTCTCCTCAAAACTTCCATGAATTCCAACTCAAATCACACATAAACTCTTCCTCTTTGGACCAACCATCCAATAAATAGTACATACAGAATAAAGCAATCTACACTCCATTTCCTCAAGTGACAAACTCATCAGCATCTCAAAACACCCTTAAGCTTCCAACTCAAACTACACATAAACTCTTCATCTTTGGACATTCCATTCAATAAAAAGTACCCAACCCAAAAAAAGAAAAAAAAAATATCCACAAAAATTTATCTTCCCATTTCCTCAATTGATGAACTCATCACATCAATAACTCAAACCTTTTGTTGTAAAATCAAAACACCCTTTTTTCAATTCACTTTGTATGTAACAGCCATACTGATTCTTAATTCAACTAACTACCCAACAACCTAATAAGAAAACATTTAAGAAATCGAATGATTTCCAACTTCAGTTGGATGAAGTGAATTTCATTGTTCTCTGAAAAAAATAAAAAAGATAATAGAATGCGTGAATTAGTAAAAGTAAAAAACCCAATTCCAATTTCCAACAATAAAATTCTGGAGATAGAAAGAAACAGATAAAGAAGGAAGAACCTGGAAACGAATGACGAATTCTTCCTCTTTGTCGACGTAGAAATCATTGAACTTGTCGAGCTCCTCGTTGAGGATCCTGATGAACCAGTCTTGGAGGTCGGGGTTGTTGGGACGATTTTCGGCGTCGGAATCGGTGGGGACGTTCTTCAGAAGCTTCTTGAGAGGCTTGTAGCACAGGAACTTGTCTCTCCACTCTGGGAGGGTTTCTTCCAAGTGGGTCGTAAATTCCTTCCCAAATTTCATTCCTCTTTCTTTTTTTTTCTTTTTTTGAGTATTTATCAAACAAAGCAGAAATAGTAATATAGCAAAGAAAAGGATGAAGTCAAAGAAGAAGAAAAGCTGTGCGATTTGTGTATGGCAATTGGCATATGACGATATGGATATTTGAGAGAGAAAGAGAGAGACGAAAGGGACGAAAAGGGCAAGAAGGAATTTGGAATATTTGGAAGTTGGGGGGATTAAAATATGATGTAGAGAGGTATAGGGTGTGTTTTCAACTTATTTTAAAATAATTTTATTTTTTATATAAAAATAAAAATAAAATGTTTTTAATTTTAAATAGAAATTATTTTTAAAAATATGTTTGGTAGTTTTTTTAAGAGATTATTTTTAGTATAAAAAAAATTATTAATGTCTCTCTACTTGAGAAAGAAAAAACGACTAAAAGTCGTATTTTATTTCTCTTCTATTTTATACTAAACTAAAAAATCATTTTCATTTCAGTTTTTAATTTTTAATTGTGCCAAACGCTGTTTCTTTTTTTTTTATTTTTTCTTTCTCAAAAAATGTAAAAAAATAAAAATAACTCCAAACACGGCTGTTTTATTTTTATTTTAATGTAATAGTGATGATGTAAATGTTTGTGCTCTTGTTGTTGTGGAGTCGGCTTTGGGCACTTTTCTTTGTCTTCTTTTTTGGGAGGATTTCTACGTCTTCTTTTGGTTATAGATTATCTCTTAGATATATCATTATATACGTACGTACTGTTAGACTAGTACGAATACGGAATATCCTCCTCACCTACGGTGATAAATTTTGTTTAGATATTTATTGTAGGGCCTTTTCTTTTAAGCCTTGTTTTTTTTTTTTCTTGGACGGGCTTTTTTGTTCCTTAATGAGTTATTCTCTCGAATCTCTCCCACTAACAGCAGTTCTCACAAGAGAATTTTAACTGGGCACCATAGCCCCCATTTGCACTTTTTTCCACCCACTACTCATCTTAGTTTGAGGTGTTTCTTTTTTCAGGGTTGGCAACCTTGTAGGAAAATAGTACCTTGTAAAAGAAATTCAGGTCTCATTCGTAGATTTTTTATTTGAATTGCGAATGTATTCGAATTGGATAAATTAAAAAGACAAGTTGGTAATGTTTGGAAGGAAAATACTTTGAGCAGTTCGTGGAATTACCTCGTTAAATAAATGGTCAAACTTAAAATATTCCATTTAGTTGGAACCAGATTTCAGAGGACTAAAATATTCCACCTCCCAAGTCAATAATAAACCTATAAACAGTTGTTTCTGGCACTAAACAAAACCACGAACGCTTTATAAGAGACTTCATTGGCATAAACTCTACTAGTAAAATAGAAACGAAAAGCTCTTACGAACAACCAATTTACTTTAAAGGGCTTCTGAATAAATTCTCGTCAGTGACAGCACAGAGGATGCAACATACTTCTTAAAAGTGAAAGTTGAACAAAGCTACAAAAGCGCTGTGAAAAGTTTTTAAGATGTTCTACTCAAAGACAAGAGAAAATTATAAAACCTCTTCATTCATTGCAAGACAAGATAATTGATGCCTTTCTAAACAAAAATGGCAAAATAATTCAGTCATGAGTAACAATGTTCGTTTTCCCAACGTAATATCCCCTCTCCATCGGTGGAAGACATGAAGGACCATCATGGAAAATAGGGCCGGAAACAAGATTGGGAAAAAGCATACTAAAGCGAGTTTGGATTATTCTGTTTAAATAGAAACACAGAAACAAGAAAAGAAAGAAAAAAACGAAGGTAAGAGACACGTCCAAGATGATCACCAAAGTCTGAAGTAACTCAGTCTTCGAGTGTTCATATAGCATCCAGAGCCTGAAGTATATCAGCCTTCAGGTCTTTGAAGTCTTCGACTCCAAAGCTGAATCTCACCAAGTTATCCTTGATCCCATACTTAAGCCTGTCTGCCTGGCTCAGATCCCTGTTTTGAAAAAAGAACGTCAAAGAGAATTCAACAGAAGAAAATTAAAATGGATCCGCTGTTTGCTTAAAACTGTGAACTACGACTCAATATTGCGGTAGTAACCGGGCGTGTGGGTGTGGCACACACATTTAAAGTGGGGGGCATTATAAGTGGACCCATTCATGCTGCTAAAACTAATTTCAACTTGTGCATAAAGGGGTAATCAAAGATTTGTCACCGTGTCTTCTAAGGCAAAGGCAACTGGGGTCAAATCACAATTATATTTGCCAGCCTTTTAAAAAAAAGAAAAAAGAAAAAAAAAGTGTATGAATTGCAGTCACAGTAGAACCAATCATCAACAATTAAGTGTATGTTTGGTATATGGATTCTCCTACAGTGCAAACCCATGGTTTTAATTTTGCTACAGTGTTTTTCTCTCACAAAAAATTGAGTTTCAAAGTCATAATGAAGAACTCTGATTTGGACCCATATACCAAGCAGGCCCTAAAAATTCCACTGATTGTAATGAAAGCTCAAGGAAAATACCAGTAAGACATAATTGCTGGCTGATCCACAATGCTCTCACAGCCACCAAAAGATGGGGCAATGTATGGGATCTTCAGTGAATCAACAAACTTTATGGTGGTATCTAAGTCGCCTTTAATCTGCAAAGTTGAGCAATATACTAGCTTATCAATACACTTACATCTACATACATTTGGTAATAAAGTAAAACTTATGAAGATGCGCTATCAGAGGAAAAATTGTCAAAAATGCTTGCCTCAAAACTGACGACACCACCAAAACCAGTCATTTGCCTCTTGGCAAGTTCGTGTTCAGGATGACTTGACAAGCCAGGATAATAGACGCGCTCCACCTGCCAAAGATTTGTGATACTATCAGTTCGCCCTATACAGCAGACTAGAAAGACTTAAACAGAAAACAAAATGAAACATTATGATCTGTGCAGAGACAAACTGCTGCATTTCGCACCTTAGGATGTGCCTCTAAAACTTCGGCCATCCTTGACGCTGTAGTGCTCTGTTGCTGTACACGAAGATGCAGTGTCTTCATGCCTCGGATGATCAAGTATGCAGCATTCTGCAAGGGAAAGACAGAAATTAGATCATCCAAGCTCAGAATTTCGAAAAAAAAAAAATGATTAAAAGAAAAGGATCAAATGTTTTAAATGACAAGAATACTCACCGGGTTGAGAGCACCACCCATGATATGATGCAAATTACGAATTTCTGACACCAACTTCAATGGACCACTAATGCATCCAGCAAGGACCTGGAATATAATAAAATCTTGTTTAGAACTTAGTTTATATGTAGTTAAGATTTTTATTATTTACACTACTCTATTTATCTTGGCTGAGTAATGCAAGCTGGCTTACATCATTGTGGCCCCCAATATATTTTGTGGCAGAGTGCAGGATAAGATCAGCCCCAAGAGCAAGAGCCTTCTGGTTCAGAGGTGTGGCAAATGTACCATCTATACAGACCAATGCTCCTTTGCTATGGCAGAGCTTAGAAACAAGCTTAATATCCACACATCTAAGGAACGGATTGGTAGGAGACTCGGTGAAGAATAAAGAAACCTGTATATAGTCAAACGCCAGTCAAATTAATAAGATCATCCATGATGTTTCCAAATTATAAATAGTAACTTTTGAAAACAAGTTGACAACTCTTTTACTACTAACTTTGTTCTTATTCAATGCATCCTCCAAAGCTCGAACATCTGCTGGATCAATAACCGTGGACTGCACATTTGATAACCGTTATAACCAAGAACAGAAGCACCAGAAGAAATTTAAAAACAATCCCATTGGCAAACTCGGGATTAGTTGTAATTTAAAAGGGGGGTTATTACAATATCTCATACCGTGATCCCCATCTTGGGTAGAATTGTCTCAATGAAAATCCTGGTCTTCCTATAACAATCAGTGGTCGTCACAATATGCCCACCAGCAGGGACCAATGCCATGAACATGATTGTGCTAGCGCACATTCCAGACGCCACTATCAGGGTTGATTCAGCTCCCTCAAGAGCACTGAAGGACAAAAATTAATCAATTAGTATATAAAACATTAGTCTCAACAACACCCAGCTGCCCAACAAGAAAAAGGAATCAATAAAGGTAAAAACCTTATCTTCTCCTCTGCAACCACCGTAGTGGGATTTCCATAGCGTCCATATTCAAAACTTGTCGCGCGTTTCTCCTGCCATAAGGTCAAAGACATTTACCCAGTGAGTTCCTAAAAAAATCAATCGCCATCTCGGAAAATAAAGTTACAAGTGTCGTTCCTATAATGAAGACAATATCAACGAAAGAACTAAAGAACGATTCTTTCTACTTTCTCTTTAGAGCCCATAACTTTGTTTAACGCTAAAATGCAGAAATTACCCATTGATGAAGCAAATCAAGATTACTTTACACAGCAAGATAATTAACCTTAAAATCGATGAGGTCGATAGTCTTCTTAAAGAAATAAGCAGAAGTGTTGACCACCGGGGTAGTAATTGCATCAGTAACTATGCCGCGACCCAATCGCTCACCTTCACACAACAGAAACCAAAAGCACAATTAGATGCTGACAATAAACATATAATAATCCCACAGATTAAAAAAAAAGATTCAAGATTTCTAATTAGGTCAAAACATTGGCTTTACTTCATAACAAATTAGGTCAAAAACACAGAAATGAAAAAGAAAAAATAAATAAATAACTGAATAATATAAAGAAGTTCGCTTTATACCAGCATGAATAGAAAGGCTCCCATCAGAGCTCAAGAACAAGGCCTCCTTCGAAGCAGGCAAGCCCTCGACCTGCAAACGCCCATTTCCAGGCACCACCACCTCATCACCGGACACGTCCGGGATGGCGGCGGTGGCGGCGGTATCGACGGCGGTAGAACGGGGGGGGACCCCGCCGACACCGCCGGAATACCGGAGCCGGAGTTGTTCGCCCACGAAGCCGCCACGATCTGCGCGACTCCGATGTTGCTGCAGTTCCTCCGCGCCTTGATGCTCAGCTGCCGCACGAAGTTCGGCGGGAACCTGAGTATCCGAGAAGACAGGCCGCGAGAGGAAGCCGCCGCCGCCCCCCCGAGACGCGCCGATGAGACCCGCGGGAACGACCGTCCCGGATCTGTTTTATCGTGGCGCGGATGGCCGGAGAAGTCAGGATCTGAACGGCACTCGAAGGAGGTGAAGACCTTGGGACACGTGGACACCGCCATGGCTGAGATTGAGCTTTCTCTCTCTTACTTTCTCTCTCTACCTCTCTCTGATTGAAGAAACAGAAGCGTCAGAAGGAACTCTTTTCGGTCCTCAAGAGAGAAAAATCGCCTGCCTTTAATACGCGCCATCGTTTTGTCATTTTCCGGTTTTGCGTTTCAACCATGGTTTAGTTTCGCCAACTAACCATAGCTAATCGCGGTTAATTCTTTGTCGGCTTACGTGGCGGAACGTAAGTGGTGGGAGCCTAAGTGGAGGTCTGAGAGTAATTTCACCGCGTCCTGTGGGTCCCGGTGCAGCTTGATGAGACTGATGACGTTGCGCAATCAGGGTCAAAACACCATTGAATCAGAGCCTTTGCTGCTGTGTGCGACTTGATCTGAGCGCAGCCGGTCCCACGCTTGTCAATAAAAAGTTCTATTTCCCTTTTGTTTTTGCTTGGGAAATAATTTTCAGAAAAAAAAAAAGAGTTGGTAAGATTTTGATCGACACCTAGATGGCAGTAGTATATGCGATACAGACTACAGAGTACATTGGTCTGTTTGTTTAATTTGTTGATTGATATAGGCCGTTTAATCTGCTGATACGAATTAAGATGTAATTTTATATGAGAATTTTTTACTGTAGTAAAAAAGTTAGATGTGATTATTTTTTAGAGATTTTTACTATAGCAAAACTTGAATTCTAAACTCAAATCAGCGAAATGAACGGGACCATAATTTTATATAAATTTTTTTTTATTATATTAAAAAAATAATTATTTTTAAAAAAATTTTACAATAATAAAACTCAAATTTTAAAAGGTACTTATGTATGGTTAAATATAACCATATTTAGCTTGGCAATAAAAGGTATTATGGCTATAGATAGCATAGATGATATATTTTTTTTTTTGGTCAAATACTGCTTTAATCATTTACCAAAAATACATTAGAGAAGCAATTTATTTTAAAATAGAAATGAACTTTTTTTTTCTTGTTCCTGCTTTTTATTATTCGAATAATTTGTTTGCATTCAACTTTTTTTTTTTCCTAGTGGATAAACCGTCTGTGGCGATTTTTTTTTCTTTTTGTGTTTGGTATCTGATGTCGTATGGCATATTCGCCATATATTACTTGATAAATGATAATGAATGTAAGGTGGGTAATGATTCTTCAATCAAAGGTGTCTCGCCTATCAAAGAAAAAAGAATTTCCTCAAGTTAGCATGCGAAATGAAGGCGCAGATTGTGTTAGTTTTGTTGATGACTAATGCAAACTCGTGAGACCAGAGTTAAGTTCGTAAAATTTATAGTGATACATAACTACGTGTACTCACATAACTACGTGTACTCCATATCAGACAATTAAAAACTAATTCAACAAATAAAACTTGGGATAGCAACGGGGCGAATTTGGGGCCGGGTGGTATTCTTGTCAACCCGCACTGCGTAAAAAAACACTCACGATACTCGTTCCATGAACCTGCATAAGTTGATAGGTTACATGACGGATTTTTCCGTCACGAATTCAGAATATTTGTAGTGCCTCATTTACTCGATTATTTATTTTCATTGTAAAATAAATAAATAAATAATTAAACAACATAAACATACAAAACATTAAGTAAAAAATAATAAGAAAGATAGTTTTAAATTTTTATACATATTATGTAATATATTATACTTAAAATTATATATTATAGCATATTATACATAACATATTTAATTTAAAAGTAGAATAAATTAAACAGAACAGGTAAACAGAGAATAGGGTCGGAGACTTTTAAACCCGTCCCCACCCCGCAACTTACAACGGGTTAAAAATTTAATCCATTTATAATTCATATCCATTTAAAGTGTATTTGTCTCACCCTATTTAATGCAGGTCCTACAAGTAAATAAATTTATAGTTAAAATTACCGTCCCTAAATAAAACACAATTCTTATTTGATATAGTAAAATAGTGTTATCCACTATATATGCACCTTTTTTTTAAAAGGCAAAACATAAATGTCTTTTTTTTTTCTCTATCCAGAACATGGTCATAACTCATGCTCATTTAACTCATACGTTACTTTCTCATGTTAAAAGATTCCATCATTGTCAACCGGAACATATTTCATGAAAATGAGAGAGAGACGTAGAGATAATTATTAGAGCGGCACTCCATTTATAAAATATTAACCCATCACCAAGTTTGGAGTATTGCTTTCTTTTCAACCCCATTTTTCTTTTCCTCCTCCATAAGTTCCTCACTAAAATTTTACCCTTTAAGCTTGGCGGTCGAATAGGTGGTTTCTGGCAAGAGCTTTTTTATAGAGAGAAAAAAAAAATAGGTCAAGATTTGAGATGAATTAAAATTAATAGGTCAATACTTTACATAAATTAATAAATAAGCAAAATTACTATTTTTTTTCATAACTTGTCTGGTTATGAACCATAACTTGACAAGTTATTGACGGTTTTTATCCATAACTTGTCTGGTTATGAACCATAACAGATAAGTTTGTCCATAATTTATCTAATTATGAACCATAACTTGATAAGTTATGACCTATTAATTTCTATAACTAAAAATTAACCTATATACTTTTTTAAACTTTTCATATTGCATATTTTTTACTATTTCTGTTTTTTAAAAGGGTTTATGAATAGCTATAATTCATTGCATGATCAGCCAAACTAATAGATATTCCACCATCCAATAACACAATCTTCTAGGTGAATATGTACAAGGAAATTCCAATTATGACATTATATAACAACCAAGGAAAATAACACTAATATTAGGACGACAATAAGGCAAACGTAATCAAGAAAAACTACACAGTAATATGAACGATAACAAGGGGAGAAAAAGCGACATCAACATACAAAACGACAAAATCTAAAGCAGTATAACAAAATGACAATTAAACTGGAAGTGGGGATGGCAATGGGCGGGGTGGGGAGGGAGAATGATTTTCCATCCCCATCCCCGTTGTTAATAGAAATTAGTCAACAAAATTAATTCAAGTTTCGAGGATGATTAATGTGATTTTAACGGTTTAGAATATGCTTTGTAAAGATAAGAAAAACAATTAAGAAGAAAGAACACTAATATTTATAGCGGTTATCATTTTATTTAAAAGTTACGTCCACTATGAGGAGGGGATAAATTTAGGATCTTTTTAGTTCGCTGATTTGAATTTTTAATTTGAGTTAAGATGTGACTTTATGTAAGAGCTTTTTACTGTAGTAAAACAATTCGGTGTGACTGTTTCTGAGAACTTATTACTGTAGTAAAACTCAAATTAGTAAAATGAAAAGGGCCTTACTATGTTATGAAGGTTATCGAATGTCCTTTTGGACTTGTACTTTACACATATATATCCTATGGACTCTCTTTAAATCCCTTTTATTTATTTCGGGATATTTTTCTCAAATTTTGGGATAACATCCCCGATGGTTGGGATTTCTGCCAATCAGTAGGATTTTCTCACTTACTTCCCGCTTATTTCACTTATTTTAATTACAAATCTCAAATCTCAGGATAGACCCCGTATCTCTCTCGATTTTCGTGGACTCGACCTCTTCGGTGCTCTCTAAGCTTTCTCCGCTTGCGACTGCCAGAGCAGTCGAATTCCTATTTATCTCGACCACACGGAGCGGTCGGCCGCCTTCGCACATCTTCGACATTGCTTGCACTCTACTCCTAAAAGAACATTCGTCCGCTACAGTAGCTAGGGCAACCTTCGTCCAATGTGACAATTAGGGCACAACTGTTCTGATCATTAAATGTTTTTATTTATGACACGTGGGTCCAACCTAATGCTTAGATTAGAGTTTAGGAATTTTACCCTACAACACCCGCCTCTCTAAATTGTCCTCTTCCCCGCTTAAAGAGAGGTGGGGTCAGAGTAAGGAATTCTCCATTAGAAAAGCATTCTCTGTACCCGTCTCATTCCCCATCATATAAGATTATGTATTTAAAAATTATAACAACTTCAAATAAAAAATAATAAAAATTCATTATAAATGTAGATCAAAATTGAAGGTTTATAAAAAAAAAAAACTAAATTTTTAACATGTTATTAATTAAATCCAAAAGTAATAATTAATTTTTAAGCGAAAAAAATTTTAAAACATAAAAACATAAATGTAAATTATTCTTCATTGTCTTTTCCTAATAGCTTTAATCTTTATTGCATGATTTCACGCTATTTCTTCGCAAGAATCAGAGTTTAAAAAACTTTGACATTTTGAGAGATTATGTGTGTATGTATAAAATTACATATAAAACAATACATTAATATCGAAGCGAAAGCAGGGTAGACGTACTTTCCCGTCCCCATCCTGCCACAAATTAAAGACTAAATTTTATCCCCATCTGCAATAATTATTCCCCATCTCCACCCTGTTCACAGCCCGTGGGGAATATTGCCATCAACCGCAACATTTAAAACAATATATTAAGAAAACGACGCCATTATAAATAAATTAAACGACAATCAATTACTAAAACGACAGTGATAGTAAAACAACAATAAAATAAGAAAACATACGTTCAGCACGACAAAATAACAACAAAACCACTTTAATTCAGTGGTTTGGCCGCTTCATTCCCATTTCGGGACACAGTTCCTGGCAAGAATATATACAAGGAAATTGTAATTATGACAATATGCTCTGTATCTAGACGTTCCTCGGCTAACTTTGACTTTTAACTTGTAACGGAGTTTCTTTTGTTTGCAAATAATAAAAGTGCATAACTCACAGGGTTACGCAAATTAACCGACAAGCCATTCATCAAACAAATCCGAAAGGGCATACTTCTTGAAAATAGGGGTATTCAAATGCTATAATTTTGGATCTTTTATATTTATGAAATAGATAGGATCTCTTAAAAAAATCAGAAAACAAGGGAAAAACAAGTATTGCATTTATCCATATTGTTTTCTTCCCTTTTTCCTTTTTCACATTGCTTCTAGTTCTATGCAGCTAAGCATAAAATCAACAAAGATAAAACAAGCTTTTGAGAGCCAACACTTCTTTCCTAAGCATATTCCTAACATTATCCAAAGATTTTTGAAACGGGAATACATGCAAAAAAGGGAATACGATG